AAATTTGCCCCTTTGCAACAGCCATCACTTGTTCTGAGTTCTTCTTTGTAGAACCAAAGTCCTCCTCCTCCTCAGGTCCTTCAGCTTCTACTTCTGCTCTTTTCCTCCTCTATTTCTAGTTATCTTCATTCTGCTCAAGTCCTCCTCCCAGGGAAGTCAGAAGTATTTAAAGGGTCAGTCCATTAAGAGTACAGGGAAAGAGGAGAGGGCACTAAGCTTTGGATAATAACAATAATAATAATAGCTCAGTATTTCCCTATGAGGTGGGCAGTACCATTGTTATCTCTATTAAGGAAACTGAAGTAAGAGATTAAGTCAGTTGTTTACTGTAGTCAGACAGTAAAGATTAGGTAAACTTTTTTTTTTACTTCTAAATCCATTGCCTTTTTTCCTGTACTACCCTAGATCAATTCTATGAGAAAAGGGCAGTTATCATCTCTATTTTACAGTTATTCTTATATGTGGTGAGATAAATTATTATTTCTCTCATATTAATTACCTCTTATTGAATTAGGGTTAAAGTTTTCCCCCTTTCCATTTCTTCATTAAGAAATCAGCCCCTATAGGTTATTCAGCTGGCCTTTGAAGTGCAGGGCTGATAATAAGATGAAATCTTGGGCAAGACTTAGCCAACTGGGAACATTTAGATCTGATCAAAAAGTGAAGAAACTTTAGGTGAACTGGTGAATTCTGGCCCATTGTGTTTTAGTTAGACAGGTCTGAGTGAAAGTGGATTCCCCCTTTTATCTAGATTACCCTACACTGGGGTGGTCTAAGAAGAGATAAGTCTCTTTGTCCAACACTGAGTGATCAAGGGGTAGCTAGGTGGCGCAGTGCATAGAACTCCAGCCTTGGAGTCAGGAGGACCTGACTTCAAATGTGACCTCAGACACTTGACACTTAACTGTTTGACCCTGGGCAAGTCACTTAACCCCGATTACCTCACCAAAAAGCAAAAAAAAAAAAAGTGTCCCCCAGACCCTCATTAGAATAAGCCTGCCTCTCATTATAATAATCATTCTTTCACTGGTTTACCAGAGTGGATTGACACCTTTCAGGAACACCCACTCTTCCAAGGACATTGAAGCATTTAGAGGCCTGTTATATGTCACCTTTGGTTTATGAAAGAAGGCCAAATGACCATCATTTTATTAATTACTTGCTAGCCATAAATAACGACTAATTATCCAGAAATTATGCCTCTCTAACTTCTCATGTGTCACAGTTGGAAGGAGCAGACTCATAGAGGTCAAAGGACCAGCTCATGGTCACAGAACCAATGAGGTGTGGAGTCAGAATGCGAATTCTTCCAGTTGGACATGCCTTCTTTTATACCATGCTGCCTCTCACAAGCAACAAACCTTATTTTGTGATAAAATACATTTTTCAAAGTTGATTTTCCCTTTAAGAGAAATGGAAAAACAGTCAGTTCCCATTCTTGGGAACTGGCTTCTTCCCTCACATATACTTTTGTTGATTATTCTTGCATGTTAACACAGTCACCAAACATTTGTTAAGCACTTGCCAAGTGCCAGGCACTCTGTTAAGTGCTGGGAACACAAACAACAGCAAAAACAAAGCTCCTTCCCTCAAAGTGCTCCTGTTCCAACGGCAGAGATAACGGCTAAATAATGAGGTAACACAAGCGATATACAGGATAAATGGCAGGTAATCAGATGAAGGCACTAGCAGTGAGGAAGACCATGGAAATGCCTCCTGTGAAAGACGGGATTTGAGCTGAATCTGGAAGGCAGAGGTGGGGAGGGAGAGCATTCCAGCAGTGTGTGAGCCAGTGAAAAGGCACAGAATTGGGCAATGGAGTGCCATATATGAGGAATAGCAAGACAGCCAGTGTTGCTAGATCATAGAAGCCCATGAAGGGGAATGAGGTGTAAGAAGACTGGTGAGGAGAAGAAGGCTTTAAATGGTAAGTAGAGGATTTTATATTCAGTCCTCGATGTAGTAGGGAGCCGCTGGAGTTTATTGAGAGTGTGTGTTGGGGATGGAAGGTGACATGGGACATGGTGAGACCTGAGTTTTAATAAAATTAGGGGAGAGCCTGGAGGTAGGAAGACCAACCACTGTGCTATTGCAACAGTCCGAAATGAGGTAATGAGTCACCACACAGATGTAGTGCTGTGTGAATATAGAGAATGGGACATATAGGAAAGATCCTGTGAAGGAAGAAACAACAAAACTTGGCAAAACTTGGGGGGTATGAAAGTGAGGAGTCAAGGTGGACACCAAGGCTGCAAGTGTGGGTGACTGAGAGGATAGCAGTGCCATCAACATGACTAGGGAATTTAGAAATAGGAGCAGGTTTGGAAAGAAAGATAATGAGATTTATTTGGTTTTGTTTTTTGCGCATGCTGAATTTGAGGTGCCCACAGAACATTTTAAACATTTAAGTTACATACTTTTGATTAACAGAAATCTATTTTCATTACTTCTACAGCCTACCCCATTGGAAAAGAAAAACAAATTCCTTATAACAATTTTATGCTTGTTCAAACAAAATAAGTACACCTTCATTGCCCATATTCAAACAAAAACAAAACCTCACTCTAGACCTGAATCCATTATCTCTTTGTCTGAAAGTAGATAGCATGTTTTATTATTGGGCCTCTGGAAATATGGATGGTTATAGTATTGATCAGAGTTCTTATATCTTTCAAAGTTTACAACGTTATTTTTGCACAAATTGTTCTAGTTCTGCTCACTACCCTCAGAATCAGTTCACAAATGTGTTTTCATGTCTCTTTGAAATCATCTATGTCTACCCAGCAAAACTGAGTATAATCCTTCAGGGCAAAAAATGGTCATTCAGTGAAATAGAGGACTTTCAAGCATTCTTGATGAAAAGACCAGAGCTGAATAGAAAATTTGACTTTCAAATACAGGACTCCAGTGGAACATGAAGAGGTAAACAGGAAAGAGAAATCATAAGAGACTTATTAAGGTTGAACTGTTTACATTCCTGCATGGAAAGATGATATTTATAACTCATGAGACCTTTGTCAGTATTAGGGTAATTGGAGGAAAAAAATTATATGTATGTATAGATAGATAGATAGATAGACAGATAGATAGATGGGCACAGGGTGAGTTGAAGATTAAGGGCTCATATCTAGAGAATAAAATTAAGGGATGAGAGAGAATTATATTTGGAGAAGAAAAAAGGGAGAGGCAGAATGGAGTAAATTATCTCACAAAAAAAAACAGAAAAGAAAATGCTCTTACAGTGGAGGGGAAATGGGGGAACGGTGAGAGGGAATGAGTGAATCTTATTCTCATAGGATTTGGCTTAAGGAGGGAATAACATACACATTCAATTGGGTAAGGAAATCTGTCTTACCCTAGGAAAATAGGGGAGAAGGGGACAAGAGAACAGGGGGATGATAGAGAGGAGGGCAGATTGGGAAATGGGTAATCAGAAGCAAATACTTCTGAGGAGGGACAGGGTCAAAAGAAAGAATAGAATAAATGGGAGGGCAGGATAGGATTAGGGGAAATAGAGTTAGTTTTTCACATATCTGCTTGCCTTTTCAATGAGGGTGGGTGGGGAGGGAGGAAGGGAGAAGATTTGAAACCTAAAGTTTTGAAAATGTATGTTTAAAAAAAATGTTTTCACATGCTACTGGGAAATAAGAAATACAGGAAATGGGGTACAGAAGTCTGTCCTGCCCTATAGGAAAATAGAAGAGGAAGGGGATAAGAGAAGGGGGCAAGAGATAGAAGAGAGGACAGACTAGGGGAAGGGATATTCAGAATGCATGCCATCTTGGGATGGGGGGAGGGTTGAGATAGGGTGAAAATTTGGAACTCAAAATCTTGTGGAAGTAAATATTGAAAACTGAAAATAAATTTATATTTTAAAAAAATCATCTATGTCCTCATTTCTTAGACCACATTTCCATTCCAGTATTCCATCACATTCATATGTAATTTGTTCAGTAATTTTCTAACTAATGGACAATCCCTTTGTTTCCAGTTTTGTTTTGTTTTTGACATCACAAGAAAAGTTGCTATCAGTACTTTTATACACAAAGGACCTTTTTTTCTTTGATCTCTTTTGAGTATAAGCCTAGCAGTGGTAGAGCTGGGTCAAAGGACATACACTGTTTAGTAACTGTGTATAATTCCTTTGTCAATCCCTCTTAATTCTAGTGCCTTTCCTCTGTTGACTATTTCCTATTTATTTTGTACATAGCTTCTTTGTACATACTTTTTGCATGTTATCTCCCCCATTAAATTGTAAACTCCTCAGGGGCACTGTCTTCTACCTTTCTTTGTATCCCTAGCGCTTCACATAGGTCTAACATATAGTAGGTGCTTAATAAATGCTTATTGACAAATTCTAAATTGTTTGCCAGAATGGTCATATCTATTTACAGGTTTGCCACCAATGCATCAATGCTATTTGTTTTTCCACGGCCCCTTCAATATTTGTCATATCCCTTTTTTCATCATCTTTGCCAATCTGATGGGTGTCACGTGGAAACTCAGAATTGCTTAAATTTGTGTTTCACAATTAGTGATTTGGAGCATTTTTTTTCCCATGTGGCTATAGATACACCTGGATTTCTTCTCTTTAGAAATGCCAGTTCATATCCTCACACTGTATATCAATAGGGGAATGGCTCTTATTCTTACAAATTTATATCACCAAAAAGAAATTGGTGATAATAAAAATCTGGAGAGACTAGGGTGGGGTACACAGAACTGAAAATCATCTGCATAAAGTTAATTGAATCCCTGAGTGCTAATGAGATTACCAAGTAAAATAGTATAGAGGGAGAATTGAAGAGGACCCAGAAGACAGCCTGGGGGGGACATCTTAGTTAAGGGGTGTAACCTAGTAGAGGAAGATCCAGCGATGAGAGTGTGAAAGAACAGAAAAGACATGAGAATCAAGAAATATAAAGACACGCATGAAGAGACCAATTATATGTCAAAAGATCTTTGAGTTTTGATTGAACTAATTTAATCATTACATCTCATCATTTAAAAGTATTTATTAAGACTTGTATGGTAATCTTTTGTCTACTTAACAAACTAGCCCACTATTCACAAGCTAAAATAAACACATTTGACATATCCAAACATGGCAGGGCAAAACTGTACAGGCATTGTATATTTATATACACACATGTGTAATACTGTATGCATTTACATAATATACAAGTCAAGTGTCTTTGGCATGGTATAGGGTACAAAGTGAATGAGGTTCAGAAAATGGAAGGAGGAATCAGCTTTTAAAACATTTCAAAATTCAAAAATGACAACTAGTCATTAGAAAATGCTTTTGGCTTTCTGGAAAATTTCTGAAATTCTTAAGGTGGTTGGCAGAGAGCTAGAGTTGAAAGTCATAAGATGTTAAGGTGTAGGTTACAGTCTGGCAAAATGAGGAATGGGACGGACAACAGGGTAGTGAATAAATAAAACTGAACAAAGTACATGGGAAAGCCATGGAAAGAGGACTGGACAAGTAGGCTAAACAGGCCCAGGAAACCTGATAAAGGGCTTTGTGAAGCACATGGTTAAAATGACCAGTCACAAAATCAGGCTTGCTCAAGGTGATTCTAACTACTCTACTCATCAGCATTCTAAATCCAAGAATAGGAAGAAATGCAAAGAATATTTTACAGAAATTGTTTTTACTGGTTGATACCAACTGGTTTGAACAATGAAGATCAGGAGTAACTGGATTCTGAATGACATTCATTAAAATAGACAACTAGCTCTTTTACACTACACTTCATCATGATATGAGGTCTTTTTCATCTGAATCTGAGTCTCACAAAGATTATCAGGTCATAGGAAGAGGCAAGCTGTGGGGGCCTTACAGATCATCTAATCTCTATCATCTTACAAAGATACCTGAGGCTTAAAAAGGTGGAATTGCTCAGAATCACAGGGGGGCAAGTAACAGCCAGGCTCTCAAGTCTTCTTGCTCTACCCACACCATGATAGCTTGAAACCATTTGCCTCTTTTCATTACTTTGTAACAGCTTATTATGTTGAAAATTCCCTTTAGAAATCATTGGTGCTTATTTTTCAAATTATAAATGAGATGATTATATTCTGATACACTTAGTTAACAGTCATTGTTCAAAAGATTTATTTTCTTAATTCACAGTGGTTGCTTTGGGTTCTGTGATTTATTTGGGGGTAAGAGTATTTTATTTTAAAATTATACAATCTTAGTATGCTGAGACAAACTTTAAAAAGTTTCTAATCATCAATTACAGCTGTAATTTAAATATCACAATTAGCATTTAAATATTTTACATAATTCCTATTTTTATACTTCAGAGGAAATTTTTAAAAAAGTATTGTTGTTTCCATTCTATTCAGGCTTCCAGTAGTTTTATATTAATAGTAGTTTTCAGAAGAGGATGTCATCATCAAAAATAGTTCATGGTATTTCCATGTTGGAATTCACTATTCAGAAAATTCCTTTATACCCAACGGAGGATCATTGAGATAGAGAAAATCATACCCCCAGACTCAATGAATAAAAGAATAAAATCAATTTTTTTCAAACATTAAGTATTATGAGCACATGTTCATTTTGTAACTTTATATTAATGAGACAATATCACAGTATAAATACTTTAAATATGGATTTATATAAAAATTTCCTGTTTAATAAATACATTCAACACAATAGAAAATTTACAAACTTTTTGGCTGCCATTTCTGCTCTTGTAATTACCATGATGCACTTTCTTTATTTCTCTTACTCTTGGATCAAGAGTTGTTCAAACAGCAAACTATGGTAGTATAAAAAATTTTACATGAAATGTAAGTAAAGGTGAGGCAGAATTTTAAAATACAAAAGTTATGAAAATGTATTTAATTTTCACCCCTATAATTCACACTCTTATAATTCTCAAGAGGTTCCTTCACTGGAACTGAAATTAAGAGCTAACAGTGAGAAAATTTAAAACTGTTAAGTCTAGTTTCATTTCTATATTTCAGATAATTATTGGGGATGGACATGGACATTTAGTGCAGGGGAGGGGGCATGGAGGGTGCAGGAATATAACCGGAGGTAAATACTGACACAGCAAATACTCTTAGATTGTTAAACTTGGCAACAATCAGAAAATAAGACCATGATCAGTCTTGTCTGTGTCTAGAATCTAATTTTGACTTCCAAAGATATTTTCTATTACTTTTTTAAAAAAGTATACATAATTTACATATCACTAATGTCTTGGAGGTACAAGAATCAGACTTTTTTCATTAATAGTAGCAGTTCAGGGTGAATAAATAGTAGACAGAAGCTACTGTTGTACCCAAATGTGAAACATACTTCGCAAACTCTTCAGTAACCAAGAGAGAATCTCATGGAAGGCTGATACAAAATAGACACATCAAGCCCCTTATCATATTTTATCACATGACTGAAGATAGACTGCTAAGATGAAGAAATGTGTGGTTTAGTAAGACTATTTTTTGTATTATATTTTTGTGTGGTGCTTAAAAAAAAGTATGTTGATATGCCTATAATCTACTACCTACATTATTAAAGCAACTTCTGAAAAAAGCCAACGAGAATGAAGAAACTCACCAGGATTTAGTGATTCAGCCATCAACAATAGTCACAACTGAGACCTAACAACCTACCTGGCTAACTTAAAAACTGGCCCATGAAGGGCTTTTCCTCAAGTCACAGAGCAGAGAAGTCCCTCGTAATTTAAAAAATCATGTCTCTTCAAAAAAATCCAACTATTTCATTGTGGAAAAGGGAGAGTGAGAACGCTAAGCCAAGTTCTCTTTAGGCAGGCACATCATATTGCTCTCCTCTGCTGCCAAGATTCCAGTTAGAATTCTTTTGTATTGACTTCCATAAAGCATGATCAACCACGTGTCCCTGGAACATAAACATGGCCAAGGAACAAGTGACATAGTAAAAATTAGGTCTGTATTTAGGGGGAAAATGAAAAGAAGTATGGTTTTCCAAATGTTTTCACTAAGTGAACACTACAGACCTGAAAGCAACTGATGCATCTTAGACTATGTCAGCAGTTTACTGTCAGATAAAGATTGACTATTCAATGGAAAACTGGGACAATGCCAAGAATGCCAGTGAGGACCCAACCTCAATTCTAGGCTCATCAGAAAGTGTGTAAGACAGATTTACTCATACTTCTTAGGACTTTTCCATTGGGCTCACCTAGCTAATCCTCACTTATTCAGTGTCAAGTCCTTGATCACCAACAGTCATAGTCTGTGGCCAAAATGCACTATGCAAAAATACGAAGCATTAATTATCATGACCATTTTTAAAGCTCTGCTCCTACAGCTCAGTTCCATTGGGCTGGACATGCATGGTGGATGGATGAAGCCACGGTACCAAAACTGATGAAAAATTAGGCGGGAGGAGCAAAACATCAAGAAACCCAGATACTAGGCCAGATCTTGCCATTTAGTTGCTGTGTAACTGAGTAAATCACTTTACTTTTCTTGGGCTAAGAAATACAGCATGAAGAGGCTCGGTTCAATGCTCTCCAAGGTAGGGATTTAACTCTGACATTCTGAAATACCAAGTCCCTGATCCTAACAAGCCACTGGGATATTGGGATTTTGCAATTGGAGGTGGGTAAATAGGCGTACCAAATATGATGAAACCAGAAGACACATTACCAAGGTGGAAACTGACGAGAAATGGAGTTGGACTGCGAAAGACTTTGACAGCCAAGAGTCAACCATGGTGTGGAAAAACTACAGGCTGTGTGAACTGCAACAATGTCGAACCGGAAGACCACAAAATACATTCGTTTTGTTTACTCATCACTCAGCCAAATATTTACGAGCTCCGATTAAGTACATTTGCAATATCTTTTTTGAAACTTTCTTCATTTCACATTAGGTAGTGTTACACTTACAATATTCTAGGGTTTTAGTGTATCACTTGGTACTGCTTAAAGTTTTCCACACTGTTTTCTATCCCGTTGAAATTCAAAGTCAGGACCAAAACAAACGAACAAACACCCCCCCCCCAACTAAACAAAAACAAAACAAAAAAACTTGCCCTTTATCTTATACCAACTTTTCAAAACTAATTTAGCCTGGGGGAATGAGACAGAAGGATGTGATTTTATATTTTTTTAAAGAAACTACCAAGTAAAGAGAATAATTTTTTAACCACCACAGCTAAGAGCATTTCTATAATTTTAGATTTAGATAGAAGGGATGCCTGAATGCCTTGGGAAGGATGGCTAAAGGGGAGAGTATATAGAAGGTCTGGGTCCTCATCCCAGAAATAGCTTAATTATATACACGGGTATGTATGTACATACATACACACAAGTACACATAGAAGTGAGCACATGTATGCGTGCTCTCTCTCTCTCTCTCTCTCTCTCACACACACACACACACACACACATACACAGAACACCTCTATCCTGACTTCCCCTCTTGTACTTAGGTACTTGGATGACTTCTTACAATAGAAATGCCTGATAACTGAACAACTATGTTTACTTTTGTATTTTCACAAAGTCTGAGCAGTCAAAGTTATTAAAGGATAATAATAGCTTATTTATCTTCTCACCCCAAGCCTCCCATTTCCTGCCTCTCTCCTTGATACCTAAGAGCACAGGGCATTGGCAGGCAACCCAGAATCTCAGAGGACAAAACCAACAGCAGCACATTTAAGATGCCCTCACAGGCTGAAAAGTCTACACACTAAAGCCAGAAAAAACCCTCAATGCCAACACGAATAAATAAATAAATAAATAAGGCTGCCTATAACCCTCATCGGTATCATTATTAAAAACCATCAACTGTAGACTCTCTAATAAAAGATGAATTTATTACTTTACACCAAGACTCTGCAAATTAAGATAAAAAACAATCAAGCTGTCTCATGGATTGTAAGGTGACTTAAAAGTTCCCTCTCATTCCCAAACCTCATTAAGCAGTCATTACATTTATGAGGCAAGTCAGCTGCATGCCTAAAATCCAGATGAGTTTTAAGATCTTCAATCTGTCCCGTTGAATATTCACAGTATTGACATAAATAAATCCCCTCAGACAAATGTGAATTTAGATGTTTGCAGTATTCTAACATGCTTGAGAACCCCTTCCCACAGTCATCACAAACATGGGGGAAAATTTTTGTGTGCTCAATGGCCACGTGCCTGTTAACATTGGTATGCAGTCGACTTCGAAAGCCACACACCTGACAGACGAAGAAGTTCTTGCACTTGTCGAAGGTGATCCTGCCCAGCAGGCTGTAGTGGCCGTGCTCGCCAGCGCCGCTCTCCTTGTCACTCAGCTCCATCAGTCTGCAGGCGTGCTCGTTGACCACGTGGCTGTGCAGGTCCTCAGGGTCATTGGTCTCATGCTCACAGAACTGGCACAGGTACTGCTCATCACAGCTGTGCTCCTGGAAGTGCAGGTAGAGCTCGCTGCTGGAAGAGAACTGCAGGTCACACTGCTCGCACCAGTACAGGTGGTCGCTGAAGTGGGCGTCGGCGATGTGCTGGCTCAGGCTCTCCAGGAGAACGCTTCGGTAATCGCAGTATTTACACAGGTAGGGATCTTCCTCGTGCAGTTTGGCATGCTCGAGCAGAAGCATGTTGGTTGAGAAGGACTCTTTGCAGACCCTGCAGACGTTGGCATCGGTGCGTTTGTGCTTGAGGACCACATGCTGCTTTAAGTCAGAGAAGTACTTGCTGTTGAATTCACACAGCTCACACTTGTAGAGGCCGCTGCTATTCGCTCTCAGTAAAGGCCACTTCTGCTGAGCAGTGACATTCAAAGCTTGGCTCTTGTCCAGAATTTTGCACAGCTTTGCAGGGGGCTCCTCGTCGACTTGGTCCTGAAGGCTCTCTGAGGACAAGTTTTCGGTCTCGACGTCGTAGTCCTCAGAGACAGCGTGCACCTCGGCAGCAATGGGCACATCTTCAGCTGTGCGCACTTCGATAGGGCTGTCCTCACGAGGCTGCTGGCGAACCGACTCTGGAGAGTCACATTCCTCACAGATTTCAATATCTGCAGATTTCTCTAAAAGAGGAAGACAAAATAGTGAGAAAAATACAACAAGCCACCTGGAAAATGCAAAAACAATGCCTTTTTCTAACCTGCAGAAAAGGTGGCATGATCTAGGATCCTGAGCACAGGACTGGGAACCAGGTGGTTCTGAGTTCTGCTCCTTGCTTTAATCCCTTCTGTGAATTTAGGCAAGTCATTCGATGGCTCTGTATCAGAATCTTCATCTGGAAAAAGGAAATGGGAGAAGTAGCTGTAATTTACATCCGAACAATGTTCAAGGATTAATTTTCTTACAAAGGATTTAAAGCATTAAGGTAGATACATTGTGAGGATTCATCAATATACATGAAAAAAGATTCATATTCTCTCTCTCTCCCCCTTTGTTCCTCCCTCCCTCCTTCCACATAAAAGGTGTTGAACTGCATTGTTTCCCATAGTACACAGCAATGCTCTATTCAATCCTGAGCTTGGGGTACGTCTTTACTCTCCAGCCCCTAAATTTTGAGGCTGGAATAGGTTAAAGCCATCCAAATTAGGGCAGCAGTACATAATGAATGTGAAGCAGGCCTGGTGAGGAAGGCCTGCCTCAACACTCTCCAGCTGGGTGGCCTTGAGGAAGTCACTGAACTGCTTGGGGCTCCCAAGTGGAGACTTGTATAAGAGGAGTGAATTTCCTCACTGTGTTCTTACTAATGAAATCAGAGGTGCAGACTGGGGCACAGTGTACTGGAAAGACAGTGGGTCGGGGAACTGAATAAATCTGGGTTCTAGTCCCTGCTGTGGAGCTACCTTTTTATGTTGTTGTTCTTCAGTCATTTCAATCGTGTCTGATTCTTCATGACCTCATTTGGAGTTTTCTTGGCAAAGACACTGGAGTGGCTCACCATCTCCTTCTCTAGCTCCTTTTACAGATGAGGAAACTGAGGGAAAGAGGGTTAAGTGACTTGCCTAGTGTTAGTGTCTGAGGCCAGTTTTGAACTCAAGAAGATGAGTCTTCCTGACTCCAGGCCCAGCACTCTATCCACTGCACCACCTAGCTGCCCATACCTTTTTAAAGTGACCAGAGCTAAATCCCTCAATCTCAGTGACAGTTTCCTCATCTGTAAAATGAGTGTGGGATGGACTAGATCTCTCATGTTCCATCCTCATCTAAAAGTCTCCAGATAGAAATGACAGGCCATAGCTCAGAAGTGTTGCTCTTTTCCACTGAAGTTTCAACAGTGAATAATCAGACTTGGGAAGCAGAAATCAAAAGGAACAACCCAAGACCACTGAGGCCATGCTCTGAGAAGGCTGAATGACACTCTCATTGCTCCTTCAGTCTCACAAAATGAAGCAAGAAGCTGAGAGGTGGGGGATGAGAACAAGTGGAACTAAGGAGGAGTAATTCACAGTCAGTGGGCAACTGGTCAAGGGGTCAGGTGAGATTTTAATGTACATATTTAAGATCAATTTTTCACATTTTAATTCATTTGAATTATTTCAACCAATACTCTCATTCACATTTTCAAGTCAAGTGAGAAAGGGAAACATTTACATGGGCTTTAAATATATCTCAGTTAAAATACACTTCAAATGTTTACCTTTGTTCTCAAAATATTTTAAATCTGGCTGTCTCATAGAACAGACGCTGTAACAATGATCAGAGAAAATTCCATTGAACCCATCTGCAATTTTGGTTATTCCAGTAGAATCTGAATACAAACAAAAATGATGTAGCCATGTTACATCCATGCCAAGTAATCTGTAAACTTCAAAAAACATTACTATTTTCCATAGATATTTGTTCAGCTCATCAACTCTAGTATTTCTAATCCAGGTTCACATAGGGGATTGGAAAAAAAATAAGAGTAAAATACCATTAAAATACATTTACCTTTTACTTGGATCTACAGCCTGTAAAATAAATGTACCACAGAAGGCTTAGCTACTACATGGTGAGCTGAATTCACTACAAAGAAGATGTGAGGCCCCTAAGAGCTTCCTTAAGTCTTCAGCTCACACGGGTAGAGATCACCCTGAGGATCAGCTCAGGGCACGGAAGGCTCTCTGAGGCCTCTGAATTCTGCCCTGAGTGCTTAGGTGATGTGGAAACAACAGAAGAGAGGTACTGCTCCAGTGATAAAGAGCGCTGGGGTTATTCAGATTCAATTAATAGGCCTGGGCCTATCACACACAGCAACATGTGAAGAAAAGAGTGAGGTATGCTACTGTCCACATACCAAAGAGACCAAATCATCCCGGTCTTTATGTCACTCCTTGCTTATGCAGCACAGGAACAAATTAAACCCCTGGAGCCAAAATTACACAATCAACAAAAGAGTTTAGCTTATTAAAATAACTGTCACAGGACTGTATTATCTCCTAGGATGAAATAAAAATATTTGGCTTTCAAAATGTCTTCTATAGATGGGAATAAGAAACACCGATCTGCAAAAGAATATATGTGTACATATATATGTATGTATATAGATATATACACACACATATATACACATATATGAAATATGTGAACAACTTATTGTTTGAATTATACTATAAACATTCACATAAATAACACAAATCATTGTCTTTGTATTTCAACTTTTATCTAGCAACCTTTATCTAATTTCAACAGAGACCAGGATAAGATTTCATAGGAAAATTGCATTAATTCATAAATAAAATTTAAAATACATATTGACCTGAATAACGAGAAGGATGTAGAGTCTTCCTTTTTCTTTTTTTAGGATGTTCATTCATATCTTTTCAATCTAAAAGTAAATGAAAATAATTTAATTGAAACAGGGAATTGATGAAAACCAGCTAATGTTCAAACAAAAATTCTGTGCCACCATGCAATTTTTAAAAAAGGAAATGAGACTTAGAAACTGTGGGCCAACTGATAACCTACTTCATAAAAGAAGCAAATAAAATTGTTTCTACTTATATTTTGTATTTATTTTCCAAGTATTGAATTAGGATATTGGTTGCAGTTTTATTTCTTACTTTGGGTGGCAAATACTCTCTCAGTCTCTCTCTCTCTATATATATACATATAAAATATGTTAAAACTACTTCTGACAACTACAAATTATTATATTAAGCTGTTTATCTGTTATAAATAAAGAGTGCTTTTAATTCGTTATAAACTCTCAAACTCAATAAAAATCACAAATCCATTAAAAAAACCAACCTAAGCCTATGATGCTGCATTAGTTATTACACAAAGAACTCCACAGATATAGTTCCTACAATCTGGAATTTTTACTGCAGACTCCAAACTCATCTAACATTTCCCTCAAAATGACTAGAGCCAATCTGCAATGATTCCTGGTTCCCAGAACTAGAGGGAATACAAAGTTGTTCCAGAGGAAATTCCTTTGCTCAACTATGAAGTCATATTCAGCATTCTACTGGTGATCTAGGAAGTCCATGTAGAAACATTCAATGCTGGGACTATCAATATGAAAACATTACATTTACCAAAACTGCTGTAAAAATGAGGAAGAATTCCTCTCCAACTAACTTACTTGGTGTAATTCTTAATGGAATCTGGAAGAACAACAAAGGAATGCTATGTTATAATACTTTCACAAGTAGGGAAAATACCTGTAAATAAAACACAACAAAGAGGTCAGGAAACCACTAAAGACTACCAGAATATATTAATCTATAGCAAAAACACAGAGAAGTTTCCAAGATATGAGAATACTATCAGAATCCCAAACCAAGTAGCCTCAAATACCGAATTGATCAGAAGGAAAGTCAAACAAGTATAATTTTATTTGAGGATTTAGTAGAGGTGCTCTAGACTTATTAACAGCATGGTGGGTGGTAGATAGAGCACTGGACTATGAGTCACAAGACCTGGGTTTACATCATGCCTCAGACCTTTACTGGTGGTGTAACCCTAGGCCAGTCACTTGACCTCTCTGGGCCTTACGTTCTTCATCTGTAGAATGAGGGACTGTTAGACTAAATGACCACCAAGGTCCTGTCCTGTGATCAAAATCAGACATCTGTATGCTCTAATACAACTTTTCTTGTTGCTTTCCAATTGACTCCTCACCCAGAACTATAATTACATCTTGTCCCCCTCACCCTCTTCGCTCAACCTCTTGAGACCCTGTGAAGGTATATCTCTTATTAGGCCATACATACGTAAGGAGTGTCAGAAGAAGAAACACAACACAGGAGTTCCACAACCATTCTGAAATCATGGCTCACTCCACCACCAGTTGTTTATCTAACCATCACTGGGGTGACTTCTGAAGCAGCTAGAATTTGACCACCTGTAGGAAATAATCTTAAATTTGGGGGAAATGGATCATCACTAACAGCCTCTTGGAGCAGGAAACAAGGCTTCTCATTTTGGACGGGACTAAATCCATGTTTTATCCCTGCTGTGCCACAGGTCATGGCACAAAGACGGCGGGTATTTTCTTCGGTGGTTTAAAGAGGGCAATCACATTACTTTACAACTTCAGCTGTGCATTTCCACATACGATGACTTTGAGGGTAGCAACAATTTTTCACACCGCCTTTGTATCCCCAGCACCTAGCTTCACCCAGCAGCCCTTCTTTAGGTGCTCATAAGCAGGTAATTAATAAATGTTCATTCAACTGAGTGAAAGAGATAAGCAATGGCTTTTTAAGAGAGGCTTTCCATTCAGGGCTGAGATACAAAATGCATAATAATACTCCTTTATTTACTCCAACTCAAAAAACATTTCTTAAACCCCTACTATATGTGAGGAATTGGGGTATTTAGATGAAAACAAAAATGAAAACAGTCTCTGACCTCAAGGAGTTTACATTGCACTGAGTGAGGAAGACTAAAAATACTATGTGATTTGAGGAAGGCAATCAAAGGAAGATTTCCCTAGGTAAGTGACATCTGAATTGAACCCTAGAACCATAAAGGAAGCTAAGGATTTTAATGAATGCATTCTAAGAGGCAGATGTGAGGAGAGATTACACTCCAAGTATTCAGGAGAGCCCATGCAAAGGTAGAGCAGGGGAGGGAACACTGAGTTTAGGGAATAAACAAATGGGCCAGTGTGGCAAGAAGAAATAATTAGTCTGGAAAGGCAATAGAGTCAGGCTAGAGATGGCAATAGACAGCCACTGATGATTGTTAGGGGAGCAACGTGGTTGGACGTGCATTTCAGGAAGATCACGTGTGACAGATTTGAGATGGACAGAAGGGAAGTGGGGGAATGATGAATTCACAGACTCCTTTGGAAGTCCTGGTGAACAGTGATGACCATCAGAACTACAGTGGTAGCTGTGCAGATGAGAAAAGGAGATGGATTTAAGAGATGCTGGAGGTAAAACTGATGAAGAAGAGAGGTAGGGAGAGAAGAAGAAAAGGAGAGAGACAAGGGGAAGGGGAAGGGAGAGTGAAAAAGAAACCGACACAGACTCTTATCACAGTGGTTAGTAGTGTGGCCATTTCTGGTGACCAGAAACTTGTAGTTCAGCCCTGATCCAGGACCCCACTTCTTCTCTGTTGTTGTTGTTTAGTTGTTTTCAGTCGTGTCTGACTCTGTGACCCCATTTGGGGTTTTCTTGAAAGAGACACTGGAGTAGTTTTGCCATTTCCCTTCTCCAGCTCATTTGACAGATGAGGAAAGTGAAGCAAACAGGGTTAAGTGACTTGCCCAGGAGCACACTGCTAGTAAGTGTCTGAGGCTAGATTTGAACTCAGGTCTTCCTGACTCCAGGCCTAGCACTCTATCCACTGGGCCACCTAGCTACCCCTTTAATTCAGTTCAATCTTGTCATCCAGGTTAGGGCTTTCCTGACCTTACTTACCTACCTTCTGTGATCTCTGACTCATCTTAACTTCTTAATTCTAAGACAGCCACATAGACTTTAGTTAAATTCCATAAACATTTACTAAGTACGTACTATGTGCAAGCCCCTCTGCTACTGTTGTCAAACTACTTGGAGACTTTATTTTGTTTTCTCCAACTAAATTGTGAGCACTTGATACAAAAATACAACTGGCTTTTTAAAAAAAATATCTCAGACCTAGGCACAGAGTTGGGCACATTGTAGGTACCTACTACATGAAACTGCCAAAATGACATACTCCTGGGGCACCTAGGTGGCACAGTGGATAGAGCACCAGCCTTGAAGTCAGGAGGACCTGAGTTCAAATCTGGCCTCAGACCAAACACTTGACACTTATTAGCTGTGTGACCCTGGGCAAGTCACTTAACCCCAATTGCCTAAAAAAGTGATATACTCCTACCACGAAGCTCTACTCATGTCACCCCCCAGCTTAATAAGCTCCAGTGATTCCCTATTGTGCCTAGGATCAAACACAGACTGTTTAGCATTTTAAGCTTTTTGCAGCTTGGCTTTAACCTTTCCAGCCTCATTACCTGTGATCCACCTTTGAATAGTCTTTGGCTCAACCAAATCAACCATCTTCTTGTTGCACTCATGACACTGGTCCCATCTCCAAGCCTTTGCATAGGCCTCTCTCCATGCCTGGAATGCACTCCTGCCTAACCCCTACAATCCCTAGTTTCTCTCCTTTTTCTCTCCTTTGCAGGAGGCTCTTCCCGATGGCTCAAGCTGCTAGTCCTTTACTCCTGCCTTCAAATTACCTTACTTTTCTTTGTCTACATCTCATATGTGCATAAATGTTGGCTTCTTCAATTGAATGAATGTAAGCTTCTGGTGGTCAGACTTTTGTTTTGTCTTGATATAACAACAATAATAGCATTTACAGTTATCCTTTCAACATCAAGGGAGTTTATACATTCCCCCTTCCCTTCTTCCCACCCACCTGGAAAATCTGCGTAAAATGTTTTGGCCCTCCCTCCATACCAAGGAAGAAGTCTGAACAGTTATGGTATTAAAAGATAAAATATGCTTATATTGTGCAACACGATACAAATATTTTATGCATTTCTGAGTTTCTAAATTTTTTCCATGTTGTCCGCTGGCCTTCACATGTCATCTGCAATTTCCACAAAACTCCAAAATTCCCATTTAACTTCTTATGCTAACCCACAATATAGCAAAACCTTGAAGGTAAGTCTTGATGCGGGATAACTGTATATAGCATTCAGGTTTGTACAGCACTGTTACTGCACTTTTCTCCTATCACTTAGTACAGTGTTGAGCACAAAGGCAATAAGTGTTTCAAACTAGATCTGGAGGCAGAATACCCACCCAAGTCAGAATCCTAGCATAGTCATTTACCATCAATGTAACCTCAGGCAAATCATAACCTCTGTGGGACACAATTTCCTTAACCTCAAAGGAGGGGTAAGTCCTTTCCAGCTCCACTTAGGCTGGCAAAATGACAAAGTGACAGAGAAGATTTGGATTCAGGGAAGCTGGGATCAAATCTCAGCTCTGATATTACATAATCCTGGGCAAGTCCCAACCTGTAAGCACCAGAACTTCCTCTTTAAAATGTGGATAATGACATTTGTACTACTTGCCCCATAAGGTACTGTAAAGAAACCTTAAAGTATTACAGAAATACGTATTTTTTAAAAATTTGTATACTTACTCTTCTGTCCTCAAGGTTATTAAAAACAGAGTGAAACCCAGTGTTAGGTGCCAGGAGTACCTCAGGGCAGGTGACCAAACTCTCAATAAAGAGATGATTCTTTGCCAAGGAGACCACTAAGTTTTACCTTCTGAATCCTCCTGGACAGGTTATTTCCCTCTCTTGCAGGCCTGCACAACCTGCAACCCACCAAAGGATTTTGGGTGGCCTGAGAAAAATGTAGATGTTTTCCTCTACATTTTTCACAGGCGCCCGAAATCCCTTGGTACGCTCACAGGCCACTAACGGCCTGTGGGCTGCAGGTTGTGCAGGCCTGCTCTACTGGAAGGTGAGTTCACTGAAGGCTCTTCCCCCCCCCCTTATTTGTACATGCAATATAAGTGCTTAATATAACTTTTCCAGTCATTGATTCATTCTCATCAGTCAGTTACGAGATGTTTCCAACAACACAGTTAATGTTCATGCATATTAACCCTCCTTGCAGCACCGTGGTAAGGAGCATCCACCACCAAAGGTCAGCCTTCCACCCTAGGAAATGCCCTGCTCCAGCACAGTTAGTGGGGAGTACGTCTGCTCCCGTTCACCTCAGAAAAGAAGGCTCTCAGGTGGCAGAGACCGGAGGGGCCATTTTCATCCTGACAGGCATTTCTCGTTCACACAGCTGAGGCAGTGACAGCCTGTCAGAACAGGCAATGTGGGCAGTACATAAGTACACTGGGACATGGATCCCATACAGAGTGGGACAAGGAGGAGGGAGAAGGGAATGGATCAAGAGGTGATACAATCACCAAGGATTAGGTCAGAGGCAAGTTTCCTTCCCAGACCGTCCCTCTGCATTAGAGGACCGATCAATGGAGCAACCAGAAGCCAATGCAAACAGAAAGCAGCAGGGTAGAAGCCCCAACCAATCAAGGTCCTAAATCTTAGAGATCACCTAGGCCACAGTGCGTTTTACGAATGAGGATCTGAGGCTCAGAAAAGGTAAGTAGTTTGCCCTTTCTGGTTTCTTAACCCCCAAACTGGCATCACTGACTGCATGCTGGGCATTTACCCCCCCAACATCCCATAAGTTTCTCCAAGTGAAAACCTTCAGACAGAATCCATTAACTTCCTCAATAAACTTAGCTCTCCTCCAAATTTCCCTGTTTCTGTTGAGGGCATTAACACCCTTACAACGCCCAGGTTCACAGCCTCCACTCTTCCAGCTCCTTCCACCCCCCATCCCATGAGATGCCAAGTCTCATCAATTCTACCTCCACAGTATCACTCACATTGCTCTGTCTCCTCTCACATGGCCATGACCCGAGCTCAGGCCCTTTTCTGCCCGCAGCCTTTCTACGAGTCTCCTGCTTCTAGTCTCTCCTTCTCCAGTTCGCCCTCTACGCGGCTGCAGGGTTACTTTTTGATTATTTTATTTTCAGGAACACTATTAAAGCCCAGGCTTGGCCAACCCGCTACCCTACTCAAGAATCCCCAGGGCCTCGAGATAAAATACAAACTTCATCATTTACATTAAAGACCCAGAAAATGAGGCTTCAATTTACCTTTGGAGACTTTTCTTAAATCACTCATCACTTCAGTCTCTCTCTACTACTGCCAAAGTGGCTGATGTGGTATTTGAGAAATTCAGTATCGCCTTTCCTGCCTGCATGCCTTTGGGCCAGGCTGGTCCTGATCCCTGGGCTGCTTTCTCTCACTCCTCACCCCTGTTCTTAAAATTCTTAGCTTTCATCAAGGTTCTGCTTGTGTCGTCCCTTTCCTAAGAGTTACTGCATTTGTTTCAATGTTGCATCTTCCCCTCACAGCCCTCCCGCCACCCCCACCCCCCAAAAAGGAATGTTATGTTCACAGAGGGCAAGCCCCACTTGTTTTTCTATCCCTAGTGTTTAGCACAGTTCCCTCCCAACACATGGGACGGGGATGGCACCAAACCTCTGCTTTCATTGGTGTAGGGAACACTAGATAATAAGACTCTCTCTAAAACTGCCCGTCAGTATCTTCTCTGCCACTTAGTGAATTGTCTAGGAGAACCCTGGGACACAGTTGCTATTTTGTAAGACGCAGGACTTGAATCCACATCTTTCTGACTCCAAAATTGGTTCTTTATCTACTATTTCATGAGGTCTCAAAGCCTTGCACACAGTAGGTGCTTAATAAATGCTTGAACTGAGCCACTGCTGAATTGCCCAAGACCACAGAGTGGTAAGCTGGAATTTAAAGCCAGCATTGAGGCAAAATGCCAAGCTATAGCCATCATATTATCTGTTTCCCCTGGTGAGAGAGCTGTGGATCCCAAAACAGGCTCTGACACCCACTATCTTGGTTACCCTGGACAAATAGGACTCATTTCACTTCTCTGGTCTCAGTTTCCCCAGCAAGAAAATGAGCACACTTGCAGTACTCACTTCACTGGGGCAGTGGAAAGCTTTTGTAAATCTTATAGCACCACAGAAATGTATGTTTAGCAACCCGTTCCTGATCATCTTATGCTTAGAAGCAGAAGTCCCAATTTGCCTCTATTATTATTGTAAAATGAAGTTTTGTGTTTTATCCTCCCAAATAAAGATGAAATAGGCCACTGCATCCTGGCACTTAGCCACTGTCACACAACCCTTCATCTACTATAGTCACCAGACTTCAGAGATCATCTCAACCAACCCCCAAATCTACAAATGAGGAAACTGAGGGCCAGAGATGTTTAGGTCAAAGTTCTACATTATTAAGCAGAGGGTGGCTTAAGGATGAGGATTATCTCCCCTGAGGGCTGGTCAGAGCACCTCGCTCAGAGCACTGTGCTATGGTTTTTGAACTATTGAAGTGGTAGGGCCAGAGCCCACCAAGGCCCCAAGATGCTGCCTGCGTTCCGCTGACCACCAATGCTGTCCCAACGCAGCAATGATAGGGGCTCGTGTTCACATCATGTTTGGACACTTACAAACTGCTGCACACATGTGATCAGAGTCAGAGCAGGAAGGACCTATCATGGATCACTGGAGCCAGCTCGACTTTTATTTTTAAGCCCATCACATACTTTATAGTCTTCCCAACAGGAAAGGGAAGACAACTCTGTGATGCTGCTGAACAACAATTTACTTTCACCTCAGACCTGTACTGTCTCAATGTCCACAAGGGCCAGGCTGCCCAGCATATCAGGATGCTGCTTGAGAGGCCTCCTTAGTCCCTTCAGCTGCAGCATCCTATTGACAATGTGGCTCCTTTTCTAACAAGCAGCAGGCTCCCAATTCAGAAACTCCTCAACTCTTACACTCATCAGCAGGTTGCCTCCAGGGCTCCAAACGCCCATTTCCCAGGTTCTCTGCTAACCTCTCTTTTTGCCAATTTTTTCAAAGAAGGGAAGGAAATAAGCATTTATTAAGCACCTACCGTGTGCCAGGCACTGTGCTAAACACTTTCCAAATATCATTTCATTCGATGCCCACAACAACCCTGGCTGGTAGGTGCTACTACTGTTACTCTCATTTTACAGTCGATGAAACTGAGGCAGACAGAAAAGTGACTTGTCTAGGATCACACAGCTAGTGGCAGAGGGGAAGGGACTCTGCCCAAAGTTCCACGGAGTCTGATGGGTCTCCTGGTCTCCTCTCTCCCCACTCTAATCCATCCTCCACTCAGCTGTCAAAGTGATCTTCCTAAGGTGCATTCCATAAAATCCAGTTGTTAACCTCAGATGGCTCCCTATTACTTCCAGGATACAATATCAATTCCTCTGTTTGGCATTTAAAACCCTAAGTGAGCTGGCCACGTCCTATGGCTTACTCCCCTCCAAACATTCTATGATCCAGAGACCCTGGCCTACTTTCCATTCTTCACAGAACATCTTCTGCACTCGCTGTTCCTCATGCCGGGAATGTTCTCCCTTCCTCACCTCTGCCTCCTGGCTTCTCTGTTGTTCCTCAGACACAGCTCACAAACCCACCTTATGGCGGAGGCCTTTGCTAGTCCCTCTCCCAAGTGCTTTCTCTTGAAGATTCCCTTGCATTTACACTGTATCTATCTTCTGGATACATAATTATTTCGGAGCCATCTCCCCACAGACCCTTGAGTTCCTAGAGGGCAGGGACTGGATTTTTTTTTTTTTTGGTCTTTTATCTTTCTTTGCACCCCCAGCCCTGGGTTCCAGAGGCTGCCACCCAAGAAGTATCCCTTAGGGAAGGCTTCTGGACAAATCACTCGTCTAAAGCCCCGAGGCCACAAGGCGGAGGAGAGCCAGGCCTCGGGATTCAGTTTAATAAATGCATTGTCCCACCGAAAGGGGACCTAGGATGGTGACCGGATAATGACGACGATGACAACACTAACAACGTCAGTGCACGTTCACATAAGGTTGTGAGGTTTGCCGAGCGCTCTACCTATACAGGAGGCAGCCCCGAAAGCATCGTGGCCTCGGGGTCGGAGGACCTGGCCTCCAATACTGCTGCTACTCCTACAAGCCATCTTTGCCACCTGGGGCGAGCCGCTTTATTATCCTTACTAACGATACCGCCAACTGCTAACCCTCCGGGCTCTAAGGTTTGCAAAGCACTTTACAGGGATCGTGAGGGCATCGTCACCTTCCCATCCCCCCCCCCCCGGGGTTATTATCGTGCCCATGCCACCTAGGAAGAAACTGAGGCTGAGGTCGGGTGATTGACTTACCCAGGGCCACACTGCTAGGGAGGCAAGTATTAGTGTGTCCCCCATATTACAGACAAGGAAACCAAGGCACAGGGCGGTTCGGAGGCTGGCCCGGGGTCACACAGCTAGTCAGAGGCTGGGGCTGGACCTGAATTCAGGTCTTTCTGACCCCAGGACCGGCGCGTTCCGCCACTCACGGCCTCACCCGGATGACTCGGTTTGCCCATCCGTATAATGGGCGCGGATGTTCTGCGCGCCCGCTCCGCGAATGGGGCTACCGAGGCCCCGCAGGGAGCGCTCGCGCGGCGTGGCTCAGCATGGCTTGGGCCGCCTCGGACACGCCGGAGGAGGCCACGCGCTGACCCGCCCGTCGGCCGCGGGGAGGGCGTCACGCCACGCCATTGCCATGCCGCTCGCCCGCGCAGGCCCCGGCCCTCGCCCCGGACGCCGCCCGCGCAGGCCCTGGCCCGCCCCGGCCCCAGCACCGCGTCCGCCCTCGACCTCCCCCGGCCCGGCCCCGCCGTGGCCCGCACTCACCGCCTGGCTCCGCGCCTGCGCCCTGCGCCTCCGGAGACGAGACCGGGGAGGGGCGGCGGGGCGGGAGGGGGGCGCCCGGCGGCCGCACGCACACCCGGCCAGGGAGCGACCACCAGCCTCCAGCCCTGGCGCAGGCGGCGGCTGCCGCGCGCCCCCTGCTGGACCCGCCGCGCCGCTGCGCCGCCCGCGCCCCGCCCAGACGGGGGAGGGGCCGAGCAGCCCGCCAGCTCGCAGGCCCCCAGCCACGTGGGACCGCGCCCGGCTAGACACCTCCCCCCTCCACCCGCCTAAGGCCGCCCGAGTCCCAAGGCGTCTAAGAACCTCGGGGTTTGGCCGGACTGATGGGTGAACGGACGGAAGGACGGACGGATGGTCAAGAAAGATGGGAGCATGCGAACCAGCCTCAGAAGTAGATAGTACTAATATTAATTATTGACGACTCACCTAACGTAGCGTTTTACAACTGCAAAACAGTTAACCTATTTATTTAGGAGAGCCTCAATTACGAGTCAGAAGGACTTGTTTGTGCTCCTGCTATTACTAATAGCTAGCATTTATGTAGTACCTGCTATGTGCCGGGCACTTTATAAGTATCTTATTTGATCCTCACAACAAACCTGAGAGATAAATGCTATTATAATCCCCATATCACAGTTGGGGAAACTGAGGCAGACAGCGATTATGTGACTAGCTCAGGGTCACACAGATAGTGTCTCAGAATGTATTTGAACTCTGGTCTTCCTGACTGCAAGCCCCACAGCAGCTGTTAGTAAATTCTACTTACTGTCTGTGACACCCAGGGGAAGTCACTTGGTATAATGATGATAAAAACAAGCGTTCATATAGTGCTGTAAGATTTACAAAAAAAAAAAAGCTTTGCATGTGTTTCTTACTATTACCTTGAAAAGGGGGGGGAAATAATATTGTTCATTCCCATTTTGCAGATGAGGAAACTGAGGCACACAGAAGTAAAGTGACTTGCCTAGGGTCACACGGCTAGTAAGTGGCCAAAGAAGGTTGGTCCTCAGGTCTTCCTGATTCCAAGTCCAGCATTCTATCCATTGCATTATATAGCTACTCCTCTAGCCCACAACCTGTACTTGAGCAAGGACCTTCTACAGCGTGCACAAGAAGTGGTCCAGCCTTTTCTTGAAGCCATCCAGTGACAATTTACCATCTCCCCATAAGATGACGTTTGGGCAGTGTTAGGAAGCTTTTCTGGACATGAAGCCTGTAGAACTTCTTCCTATCAATCAAGAAGCACTTTTTAAGTGCTTACTATGCACCATTCATTGTGCTAGAGCTGGAGGTATAAGGAAAGACAAAAACAGTCCCTCAAGGTGCTTACATTCTAAAGACAAAATGTAAATAACTATATACTACACTTATATGCATATATGTTTCAGAGGGAAATTAATATTTTAATTTTGAAACTCATTACATTTTTGAAAGGGTGGGAAAATTTCTTCTGGACTTCTATGGAACAGGACCTACAATAGTTCTACGTGAGATTCTTTCAAGTATTTCAAGTATTTGAAAGCTGATCTCCTGACAGTCTTTTCTTCTTCAGCCTAACCAGCCACTTCCTTCCTTCTGTTATTCTCCTCCTATGGCATAATATCTAATTTACTCTCCACTCCAGCAACTTTCCTCAGGACAAGTGCAAGCTGTTAGCTTTGAAAAAAATTTTTTTTTAAATTGGAGGACCTATAATTTTATTGGCATAGGAACAGTCTACTGTGGGATAGGAACACTTCCTCAACCAAAGGAGATCATCTGCTCTTCAATTTATGGTTCTAGAGTGGCCTAGGCCACTGAAAAGTTAAGTGACTTGACCAGTACCACCCAGCCAGCATTCATTAGAGCCCAGGTTTTCCTAACCTGGAAGTCAGCCCTCTAGTCACCATTCTGCTGCCTCAAAAGGCATCAATGTCCTTATTAAATGTGGTGCCTGAATGACATTTGGGTGTGGACAGTACTAGGATGACTGCTTCCCTTTCTGACACTATGCCTCTCTATGAAGCATCAGATCTCATTGGCTTTTCCTTCCGCCATAGGGTCATGAGATTAAAAATTGGAAGGAACTTCAGAGTTCATCTACTGACTAGACGTGGCCCTCTAGGTTCTCAAGTGAGGCCCTTTGACTGAACCCAAATTTTACAGAACAAACCCCCTCAATAAAAGGATTTGTTCTGTAAAACTTGGACTCAGTCAAAAGGCTGCACCCAAGGACTTAGAAGGCCAAAGTTTCCACACCCCTGACTCTAGCCCCTCACTCTACAGAAGTGAGGTTCAAAGTAAGGAACTATTGCTTAAGGATGGACAATGAGTCCCAATTCGGGATCCAAACCCTGGGAATTCTGATCAGATTCAGTGCCCTTTCCACTACAAAACTCCCCCTCTTTTTTCCTGTCACACTCTTTTACTCCTTAGAAATAAAGAGGGGAAAAAAGGAGCAGGTGCTTATTTAGATACATGTTGAAGAAAGCGCCTTGGAGAGGACCAGTTCACATCAAAGTAGGGCAAGAATATTCTTGCCCAAATTTGGTCCAGCCTTTTCCCACTGAGCTTGTAAAATCTCCAAGGGCCTTAGCAGGCAGTGGAAGATGAGCAAGGTGACTTAGTGTCACATGTTTCATTACAGCTAGGTCTGCCTCACTAATCCTGGGCAGTCCCCAGAGGAGTCAAAAGCACTCCTGGTGTTCAGTGAAATGTGCATAAATCACATAAGATGGGATATAAGATGCTTACCCATAAACATTAGCAGACCTGATTTAAACAGCTTGAAAAAGGATCAACTTTGGATTTGAAAGAAACAGGAACAAATCACTAAAATTCTCTAGGTTTCAGATTCTTATTGTAAAATGACAGGCTAGACTAAATGATTTCTGAGGTCGTCTCCAGCTCTGGACCTCAGATCAAGCCATCTCCTTTTTAGCTGTCTAAAGTCATGACTGTTGTAGATATGACTACTAGAAACAGCTGAGTACTGGGTAGAACAGAAGATCCTTGTCCTAAGCACTACTAGGTCTGCCCTCTAGCAATATGAACTCTGGCTAATCAATGATGTCAAAGGTCCCTTCTAGTCTTAACTATCCTGTGGTTTTATTTGTACATTCAGGATCAGTTCAACAGCAAGGAGGTCATCAGGTATTGATCAGTTTAGCTATTGTTGGCCTGTTCTAAAACTGACCATAAGGGCTGACGTTTACATGGGGTTTAAGGCTGTTAAAACTCTTGGCATCCATCACTGTTTTTGAGCTCCTCGGTGGCTCTCTGCAGTTACTATCCCCATTTATGTTGAGGAGGAAACATGCAGAGAGGTAAACTGATCCAGACAGTTACACCACTGGTTAATGTCAGAATATGGTTTGGCCTTGGAACTTTTGGACTCCAGTCTACCTGTGGATCCACATTCCACAGCACCCAAAGTATAGGATCTCTCTCTCTTTCTCTCTCTCTCTCTCTCTCTCTCTCTCTCTCTCTCTCTCTCTCTCTCTCTCTCTCTCTCTCTCTCTTCTCTGAAAAAAAAGGGTTTACTTCCAACCTAATAGCCACAAGAGGGTGGAATGGGATTGCTATATCATGTTTTTGCTTCCCAGGAAATCTTTAAATGAAACTTTCTGTGTACTCTGTTGGATAGGGTTCTGTACTAAACCGTTTTGTAATGTGTGGAAATCCAGAAAATTTTATTGAATCAAAGCATAAGCATTGCAGCCTATTCTTGCTGCAGGCTGATTCTTTAAAATTTTAAGGTACAGAAATATAATGCCTTTGAAAATGGAAGTAACATCTATTTAGTTAGCTAGTGAATGTGATAGATCTTGTTTATGTATATAATGTATCTGGTGTAATTTTAAAGGACTTGGTAATATGTTAAATGATAGAACACAGCACATTAATAGCTAAACATTATGCTGAATCACAAAGAAATTCTGATTATTGGTATCACTGGGCTATTGATTTAGATTGCTGATAGCTGCTTGGGATATATGTATATAATGTAGCCAAGGATGTTAACCTTAAAATTTGAACCTTGATTCTGTGATTTATAATAAACTACACTGTACAATTTTTAAAAATGTGTGGACATCCACTTTTTAAAAAAACATTCTGCTAAATGAAAGATCTTTTTTAATAAAAAGGAAAAATCACAAAAGTTTAATGGCCCCATATAATATTCCTAAATTGGAAACCACTCAGTGTCATGTCAACTGGGGATAGGTTTCTATTTCCACTGTTGTAGCCCTAGGAAAAGCAGACTGAGAACCGCAGCTCCAGGCTTGTATAGGGCAGGGGGAGGGCCCGAGGTACCAACCCTGAAAACTTTCTAACAAGATGGAGTAATTAGTTGTGCACTTACCCACAGTTTCCTCTGGGTACATCAGAATTTCCAGTCTCCTTCGTAAAAGTAAAAGGACTCTAACCTCCCTGTAAGCACCCAGAACGTGATACAGATATGCCTTGGAGTATAGGCATTATCTCATCCCAACAAAAACCACAAAGAACTTGCCTCTGAGCTTATGAAGAGTCAGGATGACTCTTCCTCCTCTCTCCCTCTCCAGTGGGCCTCCATCACACCAATACAGTAGTCCAATTGTAAGTATTGCTCTACATGGGCTTCCCCTGACTCTCCGAACAAGGGGAAAGAGCTCACTGTTGCTGGGGAGTCCAGCAATCCTCTCTTCTCTTGGAACCTGCAGAGTCCACATGACTCACAGTACAATAGGTCCAGGGCGATCCTCCATGTGGTGCCCCTCTGCCACGATCATCCTTCACCTTTGCATCTGTCAACAGCTTTTGCTCCTGGGGGAGGGGCACATTAATGC